TGTCCACTTGGTTCCACCGCTGGACCAACCGCTCCACGTGCAACAGTCCACCGCATGCACGGTTTCATCACCATCGGCAACCGATTCGGCAGCTTCGCCGCAATCTATCGCCGGGGATTCGACGTCATGGTCAATACTTGAAGAGCTCGACCCGTTGATTGATGGACTTCCAGTGGATGCCCGTTCCCTCGACCGGACGATTGTCGAAACCGCATTGCAATGTGCTCATGGCACAACTGCGGGACTACTTGCACACTGCAGTACCAGCTCCGTTGATGGACGCCGGAGCAGAGGTTGTCGACCTTCATGCTTACGTCGCGAATATCAACCGTGAGTTCAAAATGCAACGGTACGACGACATCGACGCACCATTGCTATACGTACGCATTCAGATTGGAGAGGCGACTTGCAGTGCCTTGATCGATTGCGGAGCATCCCGCAACCACATCATCCAGGACTTCATGGTACGCGCCGGCCTTGGCCTACGCAAGTCACTCTGGCAGACGGTCATACGCACAAGTCCATCGACTGGTGCCTTGACGCCGTCCCAGTGTACTTTGCCCCTCACGCAAGTGAGGCGGTGTCCTTTGACATTCTGGACACCAAATTCGACATGATCTTGGGCGTGTCATGGCTGCGAAGCGAGGATCACCTGGTGAACTTCTTCCACCGCACCGTTCACATCCGTGATCGGAACGGAGTACTAGTTCCATGCACGGTGCCTCTTCCTCATCCTTCGATCAGCTGCCACGTGGTATCCGCCGCAAGCATGCGAGTTTCCATCATCAGAGACGACATCGAGGAGATGGGGGTGTGTTTTCTCCATGCCCTCCCGCACCATGACGCTTCATCGACGGACTCACCTTCGGATCCACGCATCACCGAACTTCTCGACGCCTACAGCGACGTGTTCGAAGGCCCGCACGGAGTAGTACCGGATCGACCCAACCGCGTCGAGATCATCCTTGAGGACGGGGCCGTACCTCCGCGCGGTTGCATCTACCGAATGAGTGAGGAAGAGTTAAGTGTGCTTCGGGCACAACTCGACGACCTTCTAGAGAAAGGTTGGATTCGGCCTAGCTCATCGCCATACGGTGCTCCTGTTCTCTTCGTCCTGAAAAAGAACAAGGACCTGCGGTTGTGCATCGATTATCGCAAGCTCAACGCGCAGACGATCAGGAACGCCGACCCTCTCCCACGCATCGAATTTTTTCGAGCGATTGGGCCGCGCCCAGTTCTTCTCTAAGCTGGATCTCAAGTCAGGGTACCACCAACTCGAGATTCGCAAGGAGGATCGCTACAAGACCGCGTTCAAGACACGGTATGGGCATTTCGAATGGCTGGTTATGCCATTTGGCCTTACGAATGCCCCAACCACTTTCCAAGCGGCTATGACGACGGAGTTCCGACACATGCTGGATCGTTTTGTACTTATCTACCTCGACGACATTTTGGTTTACAGTCGGAGTTTGGACGAGCATGTGGAACACCTGCGCACCGTTTTGGAGCGGCTACAACAGGCCAAGTACAAAGCAAATGGCGACAAGTGCGAGTTCGCACAGCAAGAGCTGGAGTACTTGGGACGCTATGTGATGCCGCAAGGCATCCGTCCGCTTGCGGACAAGATCGAGGCCCTACGAGTATGGCCCAAGCCCACCAACACCACGAACGTTCGTTCATTCATGGGGATGGCAGGCTACTATCAGCGATTCATCAGCGGACACTCCAGGATTGCTGCACCTATGACGAGGTTACAGTCGCCAAAGGTGCCATTCGTATTCGATGACGACGCACGCCGGTCATTCCAAGCACTTAAGACGGCTATGCGCATGGCAATTGTCCTTAGCATCTATGACCCCACCCTGCCGACGCGAGTGACTACGGACGCTTCCGACTATGGCATTGGGGCAGTCTTGGAACAGCACGGCGGCGACGACTGGCAGCCTGTGGAGTATTTCAGCCACAAAGTGCCTCCCATCAACTCGCTTGATGATGCRAGGAAGAAGGAGCTGCTCGCATTTGTGATGGCTCTCAAGCGCTGGCGGCACTTCCTCCTTGGGCGTCGTAGGTTCACATGGGTCACAGACAACAATCCATTGACCTACTACAAGTCGCAGGACACGGTGAGCAGCACGATCGGACGATGGATGTACTTCATCGACCAGTTTGACTTCATACCGAACCCGGCCTCTCCAGTCGCGCAACAGATGCACTCTCGCGAAGACCTGATCTTTGCGCGATGACACATCATGCCTTCGCATTCGACGAGGAGCTTCAGCGACACTTCATCCGGGCATATCAATCTGATCCGGACTTCGGCACGCTCTATGCACAACTATCTTCGGATCACCCGCCGGCCAGCCATTACCGCATTGCCGACGGGTACTTGCTCCTCCACTCGAGAGGCAAGGACTTACTATGTGTGTCCCACGCGACCGTCGTCTTCGGACTCGCCTCCTCGGCGAGTATCATGATTCACGACTCGCCGGCCATTTCGGAGTCAACCGCACTATTGCACGGCTTCGACAACGATTCCGATGGYCSGACCTCATTACCGATGTCACTCGGTATTGCGACTCTTGCGAAGTTTGCCGACGCAACAAGCCCTGCAACCGCAATCCCTACGACGAGTTACACCCGATGCCTATCCCACGGGAACCCGGTCTCTCCATTGCCATGGACGTCACCGGTCCGTTTCCTCGCGACCGGCTCTGGCACGACGGCATCCTCACGGTTGTGGACCGATTGAGTAAGTACGCRCGTTTTCTCCCTTGCAAGTACTACTCCACGGCTCCCGAGCTGGCATGCTTCGTGCACACTGGTTGGATTTGTGGCCACGGTGTACCAGAAGACATTGTCAGCGATTGCGACACTCATTTCATGTCGGTGTTTTGGACTGCGCTCATGCAGGAGTCCGGCACAACAATGAAACCAAGTTTGGCTCGACATCTTCAAACAGACGGGCAGACGGAGCGGGCACATCAAACCGCTCAAATGATGCTTCGTACGCTCATCCCTCCGGACCAGAAAAATTGGGTTGACCGCCTCCTCGACATATAGTTCGCCTACAACACTTCGGTGCACCCGGCGATTGGCGTGACTCCATTCGAGTTGCAGCACGGTGGATGGAAAGGCCGGATCTTCGCTGACCTTCTCCTCCCTCGACCAGCCGACATTGATGCTGCCTGCTCTCCCGCTTCCGTCCGGAAGTACAGGGAATTGCTGACTCAAGCCCGCGCAAATATTCAAAAGGCTCAAGTCCGCATGCAGCAGCAAGCCAACATGCGTCGCGTACCATGTCCCATCCGCGCCGGTGATCTGGTTTGGGTCTCCGCGGAAGAGTTTGCACTGGAACAGGATGTYTCACGCAAACTGCTTCCCAAGTGGTTTGGACCTTGGTCTGTGACAGCAGCCGCGGGTGATGAGCCCGATGGCCCTTCATTTGTGATCAACATTCCAGAGCATCTGACAGTCCATCCGGTCTTCCACGCCTCGAAGCTGGCAACATACACGTCAGCCAAGAGCGACGACTTTCCGGACCGACGATCGCAGGACCCTCCTTCTATGGATGGCCATCAGGAAGTTGACCGTGTCATCTCCGATCGCAAGTACAGCAGCAAGCCGCGGCAGTACAAAGTCACATTCAAAGCATGCGATCGCGACGACACTCGGTGGATTTCAGGCACAGATTTGAAAGCATCCGCACCGCTGATCTACGCGCATTATGARAAGCRGAGGTTAGCTCAGGAAGCTTCACGACCAGCCCCTCCCACCYGGACTGTKGTCCCTCCCTCAGACAGACAGCTTCGCCCTCGCAGGTAAGCTCGGTTCTTCAAGGAGGGGGGGGTGTGGCATACTGCGTAGCCACACGGGCCCTGCAGGGCCCGTCCCGGACATTCAGCCTAAAAGCCTAAAACTTAGGGCTTACAGGCCCAGGTTGTTTCAGCCTGAAAGCTGAAAAACGAGGGCCTGCAGGCCCTACCCAGTTTCAGCCTATTTCTGGGTCTTTTCAGACCCAGAGTTTTCAGCCTGAAACGGAGGGCCATTTTCAGGCCCTCATTGTTTCRACCTGCCCCTAAGACTCAGGCACGTAAAWAGGGATGCGGAACAGGCCAGAAATAGCCTGTTCCTCACGAGTTTGAGCAGGAGCTGCAGCTGCAGCCCCTGCCTCCCTTCGGCAGGCTCAGGAGGCACACCCGGTAGTACATAGGAAGTTCCCATGCACTTCACGGGTAGGTAGTTCAGTAGGCACGAGGTAATCTTCAGGATTCGGCCGCAGCACTCAGGAGGAGCGCTGCAGTAGTCTTCAGCGCTAGGCAGGAGTTAGCGCTAACTGTAGTCTTCGGCGCTGGGCGCCATAGCTGTCTTCGGCGCTGGGCAGGTATTAGCGCTGCAGTAGTCTTCAGCGCTAGGCAGGGAGCGCTGCAGTAGTCTTCAGTGCTAGGCAGGTATTAGCGCTAGCTGTAGTCTTCGGCGCTGGGCGCCATAGCTGTAGCTGTAGTCTTCAGCGCTGGGCGCTGGTAGGTGGTAGATCGTAGAGTGGGAGAGAGACTGGCGGAGGCCAGTGGGACTTACCTGTGGAGCCATCGCTCCAGCTCCATCTTCGTGGTACCTGCATCAAGGCGCCAACTTCACAGGTTAGTACTGGACACAGAGAGAGAGAGAGAGAGAGAGAGAGAGAGAGTTTTCTTCTTCCTCTGCTTCTTGTTCCTCTTCTAAGTCCACCTTCTCTTCTCACCCTCTCGCCACCTGACTTCTCAGACTACGACAGAGAGAGACAGAGTTGTGACTTGAGACTTGACGACATTGGATCCAGACTTGACAATTGGGATTCAGACATTTCGACGAGGGACTATTTGGGCTTGTGCCGAAGACTTGGTGTTGACGACATTCCCATCTTCCCCCTCCTCTTCGTCTATCCCYTTCCTCTTCGTCTGTKTATGGTATGGGCTGGYGCAGTCTTCCTGTGTGAAGCGCCAGGCCCCATTCACACCATGTAACGATGAGGATGATGTATGTTCAGGACTGCATTGCAACATTGATTGTTCGGATCACTGGTATCTAAGTCTTCCGTTGTGCTATCTTATACTTTGTATTGAAAGGTCGGTTCTTGTTCTGGTCTGCACGTTACAGTATGCAACACTGACACTGCAAATCTCTGAATCTCTTAAGATCCTGGATTCAGATAACCTGTTATCTGGAATGTTTTTTTGGGGTTGCTAAGGTTTGGGTTGATACTCTTCATTATGCTATGTCTTTCTTGTCTTAAATGAAATCTTCCTTGTGGTGGTTGTTCACAGCATGGGAACAGATCAGTGAGCAGTGTGTGCGGAAGTGGTGATGTTCTTGAAGCTTTGGGAGTATCTTTGGAAATTGGTCCGGAGGTACATTTAACCTCCCCTCTAACCCTCTTTTTGTGGCGTGTTCATTATCATCCTTTGTTTCTCTCCCCATGTTTTGCCCTGTTTTGCTTTTGCTGGCCGTTCCAAATGTAACTTGGGTAGAGCACGGGTATAAGGAATGACAGCTTGGACATACTTTGAACCAAAGAATTGACATGTGGAATGTTCCCCAAGTCCGAAGGAACGACCTTTGGTTCTGAAGGGCATAAAACTGGCCTGCGCGAGTGGAAGGAGAGGGGGCTTGGAGATATCATGGACCAAAGGCTTGATATTTGGAATGTTGTGAATTTCGAAGGTCTGAACTTTTGAAAGGCCTTCCACGATTCAGACCCCAAATTCGAGTTTCAGGGTCAGAGGCCCTGGCCAAGAAAGGCCGAGTCAGTCAGTTTCAAAGAAGTCACAGTCGGGTACCTTAGCAGTCAAGTCCAACAGGCACCCGGCAAACAGTCACATCTTAGGGGCAAAATCATGTCTCATAATGAAAAGTCACGTTGGAAAGTCACATTCCACGAACAAAGGGCAAATCCATAGGCAAGAGTTGTGACCCAGAGGCAGGAGTCACAGTCCACAGTCAAAACAATGTGTCATAATCGAAAAGTCGTGACTCAAAGGCCCAAGCAGCAGGACACCAATGAAAATTCGGGAAGGTTCCAGGCCCTGACATTCGGAAGCAGACAGGCCGTGGGGATGTGGTACCGGAACCAAGTCAAGCCCCAAGAARCAGAGGCTGGCACGAGCTGAAGCTTGGTCCAAGACAATATAAGGACTGGCCAGCATCCTCATTCGGCAGATCGCTCATTCGCATGAAGTGTGGAAGTGCTGGTTCACTTGTGCACTATTGTGAAGGGCGGAGCGCTTGAGCCAGAGAGCTGCACTGTTAGTAAGTGAGAGAGAGAGGGAGCAGCTATAGCTGCCCAGCACTGGCAGAGGGAAGGCAGCATAGCTGCGCCAGTGCTGGTAGTTAGAAGTAGACCTCATAGGGGTTAGTAGAGTTAGCAGTGGGTGTATTCAGAGTTGGTCCTTGAGTAGTAGAGAGTGTGAGTGCATGCTGGTAGGGAGAGAAGACACAGGGAGGTTGTAGACAGAGAAAGAAGAGAAGTACATCTAGAGAGTTACTTACCTGAGTGAAGAGACTGGATACTTGGGTTTGCGCTGTTGAGCGCCTGTGACCCAAACTCTTAATTGCTTGTATAATAATATGTTGGAATAATAAAGCTGCGCTTACCTGGTCTTCACTTCTCTGGCCTCCAGTGTGAACTTCGTGTGGTCTTATTCATGCATGGTGTGTGATTATGTGCATTCATTGGTGGCGAACTAAGAAGTTCGCTGCAAACTGGTATCGGAGCAGTAGCTCGCTGCATCCACTGGACACACTGGCAACAATTAAGGCCGGCGAGAAGGCGAGATAAGAAAGAGAGTTGAGTGGGGAGAAGACTGACGAAAGGGGGGGCAAGGTAGGCTGAAGACGAAGTGGCCTGTTGAGTTGTGAGTACGTACCTGCTGCTGCGTTGGAGAGTTGGAGCGGCCGTGGAGCTTAATCAACGGAACGTTCACAGAAGTGAAGTGCATCCCCCCATAAGACCTGTATTGCGTGCTGAATTGTTTGGTGTTTGGTACCTCCCTCACCCTGGTGTCGCTGCCGCTGGGCTGGTTCAAGTTGTTACACACTCGATTTGCCTAGAGTCTAGTAACCAGTCCGCTCGTTGAAAAAAAATATGTATCTATATAGCTTTGGGGGAGTATTTAGCAATCAGCAACAGTCAGACCCACTCGGAAGTTAGGAGCTGGTGGTAGGGGTAGGTCTAAGTGGTGAGGAGGTGGATGGCAATTACTTGTGCCTTTGGTCACCATGGATGACTATCCCATGTTCGCACTTTTGTCCCTGTCAGTGCTATGGGGACCACTCCTTCACTTTATCTTTCCTCTTGGGTTTTAGAGAACCCTCTTCTCACATGCAGTGTTGAGGTCTGGAAAGTCAACACAGGCCCAGACAGCTGAAGAACAGGCAAAGGTAGATCACCGCCTGGCAGAAAAGAAGAAAGAGGAGGAAAATATAAAGAAAAAGGAGAAGTAAAGAAGTTGCAGGAAGAAAAAGAGACGATGGAGAAGGAAATGACGGAGAAGGGGAGGAAAATGATGGAAGAATTAAAAGAAGAAGAAGAAGAAGAAGAAGAAGAAGAAGAAAAAAAAGAAGAAGTGGGAGAGAGACTGGAAAGAAGGAGACGTCAACTACGGAAGGAGCAGGCTGAGAGCAGCCAAATGGGCGACATTCTGATGCGTCAGCTGGAAGTAATGGACTGGCTAGGCCAGTTCGGGTTCCGAGAAGAGTTGCCAGCAGAAAGTGAGGAAGAGAAGGAAACTTTTCTCGAACTGTTGGCGAAAGTGAAAGATGAGGTAGAAAAACAATTGTTGGTGGAGGAGAGGAGAGCAAGCTTGCATAATCACATGCTGCTAGAAAGGAGAAGAGAGTTTGATGAGAAGAATAAGATGAAAGAGGAGGGAGGGAGATTGCAAAAGGTGTTCCAGGAGCAGAAAGGGAAACAAGTTGCAATAAAGAGAGACTCCCCTTCCTCACTGACACCCTCCATACCAATGATCAGCTCGCTGTACTTCATCAGACCGTTACCAAAGTAGAGGCACAACAGGGAGAATTTGCGGATACTTGGAATAATTTTCTGAATAATGCCTCTCCACAGATTGACTTGCGAGTCCGCGATTATGTGGAACAATTAGATGAAGCTCTCCGCCAGAGACTTAAAGACCCTGCTGTGATTAAACAATTGAAGATTGGTAGTGGGGGAGGAGATGGAGGCGAAGATGGAGATGATGAAGACAAAAAAGGGAAGGGTCCCCAAAGGAGAAAGACAGTGAAGCGGAGGAGTCCAGACAAAATATGAAGGTGAAGTGGCCTTGGACATATACGGGGAAGAAAGAATAGTATATTTCACTGGGAAGCTGCAATGGATGCTTATACGTGCAAAAGATTCCGTATTGGGACCACGTGCTGATGGATAGTTCGTGCTTAGTGGGTGATGCGATGAGTTTCGCCATCTCCCTAATGAAGGAGAGTGGCTGCACAATCATGGTCCTATACTCACAACAAACATGGATCGACTATTTCTTTAGGGCCCTTAGAGAAAGGTTTGAAGATAAGAATCTGGCCCGTAGGGCTGAGTCTCTGATCTTAAACATTGGTGATCGTAAGTGGACGAGTGCATCAACGCTCAAGGCCACTATGGATGGACTTCTGCAATGTCCGGACCATGGATTAACACCCTAAAAAATTCTGAACAATTTCGCTAGAGCATTCCCAGATCCACTCATAACCCAACTTTATTCCCGCACTAAAGAAGAAGGTACGACTTACGAAAAGTTCAGCAAGATCACAGGTGATCATGCTGGCTTTTTGCAAGAAGCCCAATACTGCCATTATTGGAAAGATCTCCAGGCAGGGAAGAAATGGAGATATCGCACGATCTTAGGGAATATAGCTGGGAAGGACAATCTTCTGGTCACCTTCAAAGGAGGGGTAGAATCATATATCTACAATCAGATAGATTATGGACTAGAAGAAGACAACAATAGTCACTTAGCCCAGGGAGGGTATTATGAGGCGGTTGCAGCCCACGGGGGAGGGCGACAAGGAGGAAGAGGCTGTGGAAGAGGAAGAGGAGGCCGCGACCGTGGTGGAGGAAGAGGACCCACCGTCCAGAGGGGTAGTGGTGAAGGTAGCTACTATATGGGAGGTAGGGGTAATGGTCCCTCGCAAGGTTGTAGAGGTCCCAACTCCACAGGGGGTAGAGGTAGAGGTGGTTATGGGCGGTCGTATCCAGCACATCTCGGACTTCCCATAGGCAAACCGTGGGAGCAGATGGGGATAGATGAGAAAACTTGGGAAAAGAGGAAGGGCGCCGAACAGTGTTTTAAATTTGGTGACCCCGATCACATTGTTCCTTTTTGTCTCGAATATAGGTACCCAAAAGGGAACAACCAGTAGAGGTTTCAGTTGCTTCTGCAAGGACTTTGGATTCGCAAGCAGATTGTCATCCTCCCATCCAGAGGTCCCAATGGCAGAGAATGAGACGTTAGATGGCCCTCACCTAGTGAACTGTCCAGAGGTTGTTTGTGTCAGGACCTCTCTAGGTGGTTCCCCCGCAAGCATTGGTGATGAGCAGATCACTTGTCGCCGCACTTGGGCCGAGATGAAGAAGTAAAAAGGGCAGTTAATAATTGCAGATGTAGACGTTAGAGGAGTTGGCGCACTAGTGGACAGTGGATCAACACGCAACTATATCAGTAAGAAAGGTTTGCAAAAGTTGCGGCTAGGGCTTAAGGTTCAGAAGTTGGAACAACCCATTGTAAGTAAACTAGCAGATAATAGAGCAATGGTAGTAGATCACTATGTTGAAGGGGTTAGGGCATACTTCCGGTTGGAGGCAGGGGGTAAGGTGGAACGTGTTCTGCACTCCTTGACACTCATAGTGGAGGACATTCTCCCTTTTGACATGATACTAGGGACTGATTGGGGTGAGGCCGCGGACGCAAATGTGAAACTGGGTGAGCATGAGTGTTGTTTGCCTAGCCCAACAAGTGGAGAGAAGAAAATCCGACTTTACCATGCATCTGACATAGAGAATAGCCTATCCCTTTGCTGCATAAGTGCCCCCGCGTTCGCCCGACATGTGGTCAAGAATGACCTCGACGAGCAAGTGTTTGTTGCGTATGTGCGCCTGGTGAGTGAAAGTAAGAAAGAGGAAAAACCCATTCCCCCCAATGTACAAGAAGTGCTAGTTGAGTTCGTAGGTGTGGGAGAGGCCCTAGGTGGAGTGGTTGAGATAGAAACCAAACACCGGATAGAGTTAGAACCTGGTAGCCGGATTCCCAAGGGCCCTATCTATAGGATGTCTCCAAAAGAGCTTGATGAACTGCGAAAGCAGTTGGATGAGTTGCTTGAGAAGGGGTGGGTTAAACCAAGTTCCTCA